AGAAGGCTTTTCTAAGATAATGGGTCCCTTGACACGATTAACTCAAAAGGGTGTAAAGTTTGTATGGTCCGAAAAGTGTGAACATAGCTTCCAAGAATTGAAAGACAAATTAGTATCTGCTCCAGCGCTAGCAATTCCAGAGGAATTGAAGGGATTTGTTATCTATAGTGATGTATCTAAGCTAGGTTTGAGTTGTGTTTTGATGCAACATAGAAGGGTGATAGCTTATGCATCAAGACAATTAAAGCAGTATGAGAAAAATTATCCGACGCACGATAATAGAATGTAATAGAATGTATTGAAGTGAAATTACCAAGAAAACAAGAAAGCACCACAGCATATAGGGTACTTGCAACGGTAGTTTACACTCTCAAGATCTGGCGTCATTACTTATATGGAAACAAGTGTGAAATTTACATTGACCATAAGAGCCTCAAGTATTTCTTTACCCAGAAAGAATTAAATATGAGACAACAACGATGGTTAGAGTTAGTAAAAGATTATGATTGTACCATCCTTTACCATCCAGGCAAAGCTAATGTAGTAACGGGTGCTCTAAGTAGGAAGAATTTAGGTCATTCATCAACACTATGTACACAGCAGAACCAGTTAATCAAAGACTTCGAAAATTTGAGAATAGAAGTGCTAACGCTGCCAGCTCGAAGGTCAGGTAAGTTAACAAGTTTTGTTCTAAAATCAACCCTCTAGGATAGGATAATAGCAACTCAAAAAGATGATCGTTTCTTGGAAAAGATCAGGGCAAATGTTGGAACCAAGAAAAATGAAGGAATTTGAAATAAGTAGTGATAAAGCACTTATGTTTAAAGGCCGACTGTGTATACCCAAGGATGAAAGGAGATCATGGTTGAGGCTCATTCGACTCCTTATGTCGTGCACCCAGACTCTACAAAAATGTACAGAGACTTAGGTAATACCTTTTGGTGGAGGATTATGAAAGAAAGACTAGCTTTGTTTGTGTCGAAATGTATAGTTTGTCAGCAAGTAAAAGCAGAGCATCAGAGGCCATTGGGGCTATTAAATCCAATGGACATACTAGAATGGAAGTGGGAAAAGATTTTTGACTGATTTTTTTAGTAGGTTTTCCTAGATCGACGAAAGGTCACGATGCCATTTGGATCATAGTAGACTGACTTACAAAATCTGCCCACTTTCTATCGGTTCGTATGACTTACAGTTTGGTATCAGAGTGCGGTTTACTTTTCTGTAGACTTGCGAAACATAAACTTGATTTCCAAAAATTTTAGGAATTGTGTATCAAATAAAATAAAATTATGTTAGTTGAATTCAATCTTTATCCAATTTCCAGCCATTTATTTTCTTATGATAGACTTCAAATTGTTCTAGGAACCATTTGACTTAATCCTATATTCTAGTTTACGTGAAGATTTCAATAAAATTAAGATGTTATTATACATTAATCAAAGCTAATTTATGTTGTTGGGTTGATAAGAATTAATAGGAGTCCTAATTTATACAATTCATCAGTAATATAATAGGCCAACTGATTCTTTTGTGTTAGTCATTTTTTAATATTCAATTTGCAAAGGAATTCGGTTCAACGTAGACACTTCCTCACCATCACGGGCTAAGGTAGGATCCCTACACAAAGTTGATCGTTATATGAATATAATTTTCATTCGTACATGTTATTCATTATATTTGTTCATGAAGTATGTGAAGTGCCTTTAATGGTTTTTCTTAAATGTCAATATCATGGAGATTATATGTTAAACTGATAGCCGTAGAGGCTCATCAAAATTTTAAGAGATTATATGTTTAACTGATGGTCGCAGAGACTTATCAAAACTTTCAGTAGACCATTTGATCATTGATTTGCTTATTTATGAAGGCAATACGTAAGGATGCATGATTAAATGATTATTATGTTCATATAGCATGTGTAGTCTACTGAGTATTTCTTTGAGATGCTCACTCCTATTTAACATTTTCAAAGTAATCGGAGATCGTGCAGTGGCTCAGCATGAATGGCATATGAAATTTTTAGAAAAACTTATTTCTATGTTTTAGATTGCCACTTTTATGTTTAATAATCATTGGGGTATCACAAACAATGTAGTTTAAATCCATGTTTTGAGACGAAAAATTTTAACATTTGAACATGTGTTTAGTAAATTCCAACATTCTGCCACTGTTTTTAAAATTGTACTGTGGTCGGTATATTTGAAATTTTAGCATGTTTTTAATTGAAAAATGATCCTTTGTGAGTTATCTAACATATGAAACTGAAAATAGGTCGATCGGAGTCCCATAAAATTTATTATAGCAATTTTAGTAAATTGTGACACTCAAATTCGGGAAACACAAATCAGCTTGTACGAAAAATAATTTCGTGCTTCAAAAGTTGTCGTCGAGATCCCGAATTTTTCTATGTTGTACTTATATGAGTTTTATACTTTTCTGTAAAATTTCATAAATTTTCGTCACGGTTTGCTAGGTCAAATAATTTTTGCAAACTCACCGTGTAATTGTTGGAAACTGTTTCAGCTTGCTTTTGAAAAAAAAAAAACTCTTTCCAAATTGTTTTGTTCCGTATTTTTTTTTAATTTTATATGTTTAAAAAAAATGTTATGATTATATAGTTTGAGTAAATAAATTCTAATTTAGAAACTTTCTTAAATCTCGTATTTTTAGAGATTAACATTAAAAAATGCATTCTTGGTAACGCGCTGAGTTATTAGAATTCGGGGCGTTAAAACATCCCAAATTTTCAAAAAAAAAAACTTTGGAGTGTTGCCCAAAATTCAATTTTCGCGGAACGATAAAATAATATTCTTTAAATAAAAATAACTGAAATATTCATAATGAAAACATAATCACAAATTAAATAACTGTCTTTGAACAAATTAAACAGACTAATAATTTGAAGGAAAAAAATAAAATTATGTTTTATCTTTTCGATTTCTCTTGGCAATCGCAATACCATTGGGACAATTGCACACTATTTATAGTTGAAATTCTTAATTGAGTTTGTATACAACTAGAATTTAAAATGATGTATATAAGGAATTTTATACAATAGCTTTCATATAAAGCAGCTGTAAATTGCTAGTATATTTTTTTCAAAGTTCGTTTGATCAATCAAAGTAAGATACTTCTATGCAAGTGGTTTGTTTCCTTATACTTTTATATTCTGAAATTAATGCATGAATTGCCGTGGACCTTCAAGTTCTTTATTAAGAGATAAGAAATCCCATGGGAATTTAAGATGACCTAAGATGGGTGTGTCACTCGATCACCGATATACTCCATAAGAGAAGAGTGATATGAAGTGTTATTGTGATATAATTATGTATGAAAATTGCACATATCGTATTGGGTATTTTTAAATACTCACTTTTACAAAATTTTACAGGTTAGTTCGGGTCGATTGGAACAGTGGCGGAATAGTGATGCGGCTGTCAAGAGAAATCGAAGAGATAAAACATTATGTTTATTTTTTAAAAAATTATTAGTCAGTTTAATTTGTTCAAAGATGATTATTTAATTGTGATTATATTTTCATCATGAATATTTCAATTATTTTTATTTAAAGAATATTATTTTATCGTTCCGCGAAAATTGAATTTTTTGTAACACTCCAGTGTTTGTGAAATTTTGGGACGTTATTTGACAGATTTTGTGCCACGACGTGCCTAAGTTGCCGCATTCGTGTGCCTGTTTTGCTACCTTCGTATGTCTCGACGTGCCTGCATTGTTGCTTTCATGTATCACGATGTTCATGTGTTTCGCCTTCATATTCAACTACGTGCATATATTGCTGCCTTAGTGTGCCACGATGTGCCTGACTTGGTGCCAATGTACGTAACTAGGTGTCACGATGTGTTTTAGTCCGTGCCTTCGTTTGCCATAATAATCATGCATTACTGCCTTTGTGTAGCATGACGCACCTAACTTTATGCTATGACGTGCCTAAGTTGTTTTCGTGTGCCTACATTGCTACCTTTGTGTTCCTCAACGTGCCACATTGCTACCTTTGTGTTCCTCAACGTGCCACATTGCTACCTTTGTGGATCACAACGTTCATGTGTTATTGCCTTCGTATTCAACAATGTGCCTTCATTACTACCTTAGCGTGTCACGATGTACATAACTTGATGCCACGATGTGCCTGACATAATTTCACATGTTTAGTTATTGCCTTTATTAGTCATGACGTTCCTGCATTGTTGTATTCATGTGCGACGTGTACCTTAGTTGCATGATGTGTAGAGTAGCTTCCTTTGTGTGAAAAAACGTGGCAGTATTGATGGCTTCCTATGTCTTAAATAGTACCTTTATGCATCACGATGTGCCATAGTTGCCTTTATGAACAACAATGTGTTTTCCAACGGTGTATATTTCCCCAAAATATGAAAATGACGAAAATGATAATTTTTTAAGGTCATATAATAAGTCTTTTACGTTGTTCTGAAAGTTTTGCAACATACTCGCTATGATGCTACAGCATAATATTTGAATGAATATAGAGGATATTTTAAGAGTCATGTTGCATTATGCAGCTTGACACTTGGATTGTATTTTATACTATATTAAATTCTGTTTTTCAACAGAAGGCTTTCAGTGTTGAAATAAAAAAAATTGTATATTTATAACTGACATCTTGTAAGTATTCAAATAACTTGTTATCAACTATAGTATAAGAGTCACAACCCTAATCGAAATAATTGTAGTTTCTTATAGAAACCCTGTCGTGATATAATATTTAGAAGCAATTGTATGTCAAAATAAACTGTAACCCCTATATTTTCTGTAATTGAAATTTTAAAAACTTCCACAGCCTGATAAGCAATTCTCCCAGGCGAGTTGAGATCAGATTTCCCAAGTAGCCTATAATTTCCAGATCAACCAGTGCACAGATGCAGCTTCGGTCTCTGTAGGCTTCGCTAATCTTATTTTTATCATTGAAAGGGGAGATAATGCACCTGTACAATACATTGGTTGAATATCTGCATCTCCAATCATTTATCAATCCTAATATTGTTACAAAGATGGCTAAGTTCAGGCCTGGCATCCATCCAAGTTGTGAATCTCATCTCGGCTGCAGAAGTGCAGTAGAGATAGGATCTAAACGTGATCAGGAGGAAGTACCGCCTGCAGAGGCACAAATGACTAGTTACTGTAAACTTCACTGCAGTTGTCTAGTACTTAAGCAGGTAGTAGCAGGATTCAGATATGATTTATTGCTAATAGGCTGGAAGCATGCTGGTGAAATATCATTAAGACCAGCAAGCAGTCTAGAATTCAGAAAGCATACTCAGAGTTGAGCACAAAATTTGAGACAGGTCATTAGTGTACAGCTGCTACTCTAAGAATGAAACCAACCTTAAAGCTTTAATACCCATATCCACAAGATATGCTCGATGATCATCGCAATTATCCGAAAGCTTCTCAAGTTCCTTGATGTAGTACAGAATATCATCTCGTAGATGTCCAGCACCTGAACACCTTCAAAATTGAGGGACAAACTCAGTTGCAATGCTATGACTTATGGTAAATGTGGACAACCACTGGATACTATTGTCATAACTTTAAATTGTAACCAGCATTCAACTAATTGCAACCATTAGATTTGCCGTGTTCAAAACATTCCAAAGATATCGAAATATATCTTCAATGAAACAAGTTATATTAGAAACAGACCCTGCTTTAATTTATCTTCTATTTTGAAGAATGCACGGTGAATTGATAATTTGCATGCAAAAGACCTCTTAACATGCACATTCATGGATGTCTGCAGCAGCCAGCAAGGGTATTAAGCACATTTTTTGTTGATTAATGAAATTTGATATCAGTTGTTCACAACTTCAATGGTTTCAACACAGAACAAAGCATGTTCTCATCCTTCCATTTGTGTGTGGATAAAGTTCATACTTCAACAAGACAATCAAGACTTTTTGGCAAAAAGAATTGCGTACCTTTCTATAACAATGTCAACATCTGCTTTGCTCTCAGGTCCATGAAGAAGAACTCTAGTGAGGCTTAGAATGTCCCTGTAATCACCCATTTTGCGTGCTTCATCACCAGAAGTTTTTTTGTCTTCAGGTGAACGAAATGGATATTGAGTTCCAGCCAACGGTCGGGGAATGCATGATGTTAACGCTATCTCTGCTTCAAGTCTTATGCAAATGATAGCCATAGCATAGGAAACCCCTCCAAAGCCTGTGTGTGATACGAATAGATAAGACCCTGCAGAGCTGTAAGAGAAACAAGAAGCAAAGATAAATGTGATTTTAGCATACATAACATCATATGCACGCTGATGTCAATGCATGAAGGGATATCTGGAAGCACTTTGTCAATTAGCAAATCTTGAGAGTGCATGCATCATGAAGATTAATAATCACCATACCACAATTTATTGTCTTGGTGCAATGCATTATTTATATAACTGCTATAAACAAATCTCAACCTTACATCAAATCTAGGTTCTACAGTAATCTGGGGCAAAGTAGTACACGTGTATGGTTTATAACAGCTTCACCAGTGGGCAATAATGTCAAGATAAGTCCTGGTATGAGATAAATCTAACATCCAACATCAAGATAAATAATGGCATGATATAGCCAAAAAACAGCTTGTATTGTAAAAAACAGCTTTGCTATCTAACATTGTTTTAAAAGTCTAAGTTTTATGTATTTACAGAATTTATAGGAATAACATAAAGGCCTTCTTGCTTAAATCAGTCAATATCGACCCTACACTATCAAGACCACAACACATGCAGTCAAAATCAACCCCAATTCAGTACAAATCGATTGTCATTCCTCTATTTCTTTCTCCATTGTTTTATTTTTCCTCCTCTCTTGTTATCACTTCCTAAACTTGCATAGGGACGTGCATTTGTTCTGCTTTTGTTGTCTTTTGATTACAAAGAAAGAAAACTTTGTTTTTTAACCATTTTCAGGAAACAAGAAAACAGAGCTTAGTATAGGAATATTTTTTTATGGTGTCTTGCATAGTTTTTTTTTTTTTTTTTTTTTTTTTTTTTTTT